TTCTATGGTTCTATTATTCCATCTCATGGAACCACTATTACTTCTGTCAAGGAGTTCAAGTTAGAGTTCCAATTTTTTGCGCAGTTTCTGAATGTCCCTGCATCTGTTCCACCTTCATTACTAATTAAACAAGGCTACGTTTGATTAAAGCATTCTACTTTAACTTCTATTCCCTCACTGATAACTCCCCTCCACAATGCAGTATTCTGGAATACAGAGATTATGGGCTTATTCTGTACTCCTTGAACTAGTTGATAGGAACCTGAGGGTAAGGGGACCCCTATCAAAAGTATCCCCTGGCTTGAATATTATGGGAGTACAGATCCAGCAGTTATTCCGAGACAGGATTTGGGAAATGTTCTGAGATAGCTGGATACGTAAGTTCCCTTCCCATGATGTTCCTAAACGAATAATCCCTATCATCATCAGTAGGAATATCATCCTTCTCTTTATGTATTCAGTTTATCAGATTCTCTCCAAAACATACAATTTAGGCAATATAAATCACCTCCCAGCACTGGATCAATCCAGCATGTTGATCCACAATTTGGACAATCAATTATCTGTAAGGGTCCTCCTATTGGATATCCGGTCGCCTTAGGCATTCTATGAAATAACAGGTTAGCTTACAAATTAATCAGAAGAGCATTCACTACCAAAATCCTGGAAATCTGGGTTTACAAAGAATTATTCCAAAAATTATCAAACATAAACCTGAAAAGAACAGTGGTACCTCTTGAGGACACTCTCTGTATATGCCAACTCCTCTTCCCAATTACAGGTTACAGTCATTACTCTGTAGGATAGAAAATGTTTTACAAGTCCTTTCTCCTAATTCTGACTTTTAAAGGATCTTCTGTCGGGATGGTTTCCCAAAGATTAGGATCAGTGGATGCCTTTACTCATGTGTAATGTGTCCACCCTTTGTCCGCAGCTCTTACAGCTGTTTCCCTGGTGAGCGGTACTTGGAATGGTCCTTTCCACTCAGGTTGACGCTTCTGTTCCTTCCAGGTCTGTATCAGGACCCAATCTCCCGCATGGAACGAATGCATTGGGAATTCCAAAGGTGGGGTTTGAGCCAACAGCCCATGAACCTTAGGAGATAACAGAGAGGAAGACAACCCAAGTATACAGTTCTTGAGAAATAAATCCTAGGTTTCGAAACTAGGAAGCTCACCGTTTCCACCTAAACATCCAAACGAGTTAGGTGATTCTGTAAATCCTTGGAGCAGAACAGTCCATCTATACTGTTGCTTTCAACCCGTTTCTGGGTCTTCCCATTCAAATGCAAGAACATCCCTACTTTCCGGATCCAAGGGCCAGGCCCAAAAAGCATCTTTTAAATCTCTAACAGGGAACCATTCATGTTGGTAAGGAATTTTACTCATCGGCGTGTAAGGGTTAGGGACCTCAGGGTGGCGCTTTCTCACCATCTCGTTAATTTTTCTCAGCTCTTGCACCGGTCAGTACGAGCCGCCCGGTTTCCACACCGGTAAAAGGGGAGGGTTGTGGGGTCCTAACAAGCCGTCCTTAATCAAGGTTTGCACCACAGGTTTCAAACCCATTTTTCCTTCAAGAGCTGTGAGGTCCCACCTTTAAATTTATCAAGGGTATCCACCACCTTGGGTTTCCATTCTGTTTTACTACTTGATTTTCTGCCAAGACCATCATTTTTATTTTCTGCTTCTCCTCTTCCCGTCTAACATACACCTTCTGAGCTTCCCTCAAAAGATTCTCTATGGGCTGTTCATTCCATCCTTCTAGCTTCTCAGGTTTCTTCTGTGTATCTGGCCATGCCTTAGTTACAAAATCAACTTTCAACAGCCCTTGGGCTACTTGGTTGTTGGGATCCATTCCTGAATGGTGCACAGGGCCGCTCAACTCAGCGGGGTTCACCTTCTTGCTGCTGCGACAACGCGGGTCCCCCGGGCGGGTGACAAACCCCGGACGAGCCCCCAAACCTGTGAGAAACGCTCGCAGGCCAGTGACTGGGGCTCAGGCAGGATCTCGGGGAAGCAGCGGTTTACTCGCTATTGCAAGGGTGGGTGACCCCCACCCACCCTGCAGGAGAGCGTGCCTCGTCGCAATAGAGTACACATTCTATATCCCAATTCCCGACGCGTACAGCCCCCTCCCGTTTCCTCACTGGCCGAGTACTCCAGGTGCACAGCCTACCTGACGCGCATTTCTCTTCTTTTGTGCACAATGGCATTTAGAACAACTTTTAAGTTTTTTTTTAAGGCAAACCATCACCGTTACCTTTGTAACCCTCTAGTATGTCTTTGGTATGTCTTACTCTGCAATTCTTTATCTCGTTGCCAACCTGTTATTTTTAAATGCGTCTGAGTGTTTTCATTCTGCTGAGGTGGCGATACTTCTTAGCGTTTCCTTTTTATTTGACCTCGCCAACTAACCCTCACTCAGGATTATTAAGAAAAACAGTTTGTGCAAACATGTGATAAAACCGCAGCCGAGTCCGGTTTAGGACTGGAATTTTCCATCTGGAAAAACAGAAGAAAGTTCTCTCTTACAAATGCCCAGAAATAAAACAATGGAAAGAATTCTGCATTTTCACTTTTTTGAAGTAGCACTCCACAGAAATAAATACGGTGAACACAGTTTACTTGAGAATTATAACCACAGTCACATTACATCTCAGAACACGAGTTCAGTGTTCCACACCCATAATTTCTAGAACAAGACAGGAAAAGCTTCGATAGCCTTTAATGTTTACATAACTTCCAAAATGCAAAGTGTTAGTGAAAACAGTAGTATTCTTGTTGCATGCTATGATGGTAGTGCTTACTGCTTTTAGCAAGAGAAGGGATTATAAATAGAAGGATCTGAACATTAGGGGAAGGGAAAAACTATATCCAAAGTGTTTCACAGAATTAATGCTTTCAAGCACTACTTCAACCCAGTAGAAAAGCAACAAATCTCCAAAGGTTTCATTCTGCCTTGAAACACCTTTGCAGCAGGAGTGTAACGACATATATGGCAGTTGACCACACATACACATGGAACCCACCGTTCAAAAACAAACAGCATTGATAGTGTTTGATTCCCTTCACACAGGCACGAACTCCGCTAGCTTCTCTTTCTGGGGCTTAATGAGACTGTGCAATACTGGAGCAGTAGTCTAAAATATCCTGTATAGTGAATTCCATAGTAATTCCTGATCCAGGATAGCAGCGAGCTATCAGCCCTTCAAAGTGCTTGTACTGTCGTATAAACTCATCCTGCATGGAATGCCACACAACCTGCCAAAGAAAGCAAGCCTCAGGAAATGTCAACTGGCACAGCACGCTACATGTGAACTACAAAACATCGTCTCATTAACTGATTCTCAGCTCAGGTGTCACTTTAAAACTAAAGCTTGCTAACCACAAAGTTCAGTAAACTGAGTTGCTGCATTAAAACAACTACTGAAGCTTTTTACCCATTAAAGTCTTTAATGTTTACCTGACTCCTGCCAGATCTCCACTGCAAAGCAGAAAAGAGTAAAGAGGAGGAAGTTGCACTAGAAGCGGTATTGCTTTTGTCTTTAAAGAAAACACCCTGAACCAGAACAGTGCTCCTAATCCACCCCTTACAAAGCTGTTGTTACATGCTTAACTCTTAAATCAACTTACTCCAGTGAGAAAGTTCAGAGTAGATGAAAAAACCTGAGATAATACAACTATCAGACGAGAGTGAAAGTATATTCTGCTACCAGCTAAATTTCATACCAGGTTACCAGTTCATTTAAACCTAGTTCTGTTTCTAGTGTATTTTGCAGAACAGAGATCACCCATTAATGGTCAGCTGGAGAATCATAAAGGAAGTTTCCTTCTGAACTCTCTCGCTACCACCACGCTTCAAATCAATGTTGCAACAAATCGAAACAGAGCGGGATTATAAAAAAACTCCACTCAAACTTCATGGTTTTTCAGAGTTGTGCTGAAGCTAGGCACTTCTCACAGAACACACATGCAAAAGCAATCATAAAAGCCTTTGTGTAAACATTACAAGGTTTTTGAACCATCATTTTAGTTTACCTGGAGTAAGTTTTCTTCTTCACAGAGATGTTTGTCTACCTTCTTGTAGAGATTATCCAACCCCTTCTTCACTTCCTTACCAGGATATTCCTTAATGACTTTACGAAGCTCTTGTTTATTAAAAGCCAGTTGATAGCTTACTTCCTCTTCTCGTATACCTTGTGCCACACGAGCTTCAACACCTTCAAAAAAATGCTGACAAACAATAACCGCGTTAATGACTATCTCAACTCTACACTAAGTAACTGCACACGTGCTTGTCGAATTCTCTGATTCCGCTTGACAATGGTTGTGTGTTCCCCTCGGTTTTCTCTTTTTCATTGGGCATGAAGTAGTGCTCAGCCACCAACACTGAAGCACAGCAATACAGCACTCCGTAAGTACTAGCGTAAAACTGAAATCCATCATTTGTAGAAGCAATCAAGCTTTTCTTTGCAACTTCATACCTAACACTGAAATCGGCCTCAAAATCCTCAATTAGTAAGGTCACAGACTAGGAAAACACTGCATCTTTTGGATAACCTGACTAAGCACCTGAACAGGAATTTCTCTACTTAAACCATAATTACACAGCAATATTTGTTTATAATTGCTCTGTCTCCTCACTGCCCCGCACCAGCTGTGTCAAGATAATAAGGATGGAGGGAAGTATGCCTATGAACACACATGCAGAGCCACGACATCACCTGTAAGAGTGCACTGGGCCTGGCCAGGACGGAGTTACCCGTCTTCATAGCTGCCCATGCGGTGCTGTGTTTGGATCTGTGGCTAAGTCAGGGCTGGTAACACACTGATGTTTTGGCTAGTGCTGAACAGGTCAAACCTGGCCAAAGGCTATTCCATTGCACGTAACACCATGCTCAGCTATAAAAATCTGGGTTAGAGGAGGGGGTGGTGGTGTTGGTCTTTAAGAGGGTTGTTGCTCACAAACTGGGTGGGCATCAGTCTCCTTGACTTTTGCTCTTCCTATTTTCTCCCCTGTCCTGCTGGGGAGTGGGGCCGAGCAAGCAGTTAGTTATGCGGCATCTTAGGTACTGGCCAGGCTCACCCCACAATAAGCAGGAAGCAACAATAAGGCATTTTCATCTTTGAAAAGGGAATACATCTTAGACATTTCCTTGGGCCTACAAGGAGGCTGGGGGTGGAAATGACTTTTTACAAGAGCCTGTAGTGACAGGACAAGGGGTAACAGGTTTAAATTGAAAGTGGGGAGGTTTAGATTGGATATCAGGAAGAAGTTCTTCCCGGAGAGGGTGGGGAGGCACTGGGACAGGTTGCCCAGAGAAGCTGTGGATGCCCCATCCCTGGAAGTGTCCAAGGCCAGGCTGGATGAGGCTTGGAGCAACCTGGTCTAGTGGAAGGTGTCCCTGCCCATGGCAGGGGGGTTGGAACTGGATGATCTTTAAGGTCCCTTCCAACCCAAACCATTCTGTGATTCTATGATTTCAGAAAAAGAATGGCCTAAATCCTTATAGAAAAAGCAGTGAGCAGTGGGCAATGTTCAGTGGGCAGAGCTGAGTCTGAAGCTGGGTCAGCATTCAGTTTAACACTCAGTTCAACTTTGGACATACAGAACTTTACTAAAACATTATTTATAACAGTTCAGAAACTACTGTAATCATCTCGGCGGCTGAGGTGGGGAAAATTATCCCAAAGCTCCTGATTACTTCTCCCCTCACTTTTTCCTTCCTCAAAACCATTTGCTTACGACACAAGTGATATTTAGTCAGTACTATTCATTGCCAAGATAACCAAAATTTGGTTATTTTCATCCAAGACCGTTACCCTCATGAGTACTCTTCTCAAGTCCAAAGTAATAAAATAGAGATTGTGATAGATGCAGGGATAAAAAGATGAGATAATGCCAACTAAACACCTGAGAAAGACTACTCTGTTCCATTTACAAATATATAAACTCAAACAGACTTACATTTAATTTCTCTAGAGGCTGTCCAAGTGAGTAGATTACGTAAGACTGAAGATGATCAGTGTATTTCTGTTTGGCTTCTTTTTTCTCAGCCTCAAGACAAGAAATTTTCAAGCGAGAAAGTGTTGCAAAAATATGATGGAAGTTTTCCATCATGACCACATCTCTGGGTGTTTTTTGGCTTTCATTAGCTACCTTCTCAACTGAAAGAAAAAGGAATTAACATACTTAAAATACCAAAGGAGCAACCAAATTCAGAAAAACATAACCAATAACCATAATACTGTCAGAAAAGGAATTTTGGATTTTATATCAATGATTATAATTTGTATGAGTAATTGTCGTAATTGCCACTAACAAAAGAAGAAACAGGCTCTAAGACCATGAAATTCATATGCTAATATCCTGGGTTCAGTCAGGAAAGAGGGTTCAGCCAGGAAAGAGTTAACTCTCTTTACCGTGGCTGCTAGGAAGCTGTTCCTGGATGCAGAGAGCAGCACTGATCAGTTCCCAGCTGGCGCTGGGCAATGCCTGCACTGAATTCAAGGTCTTTCTCCGCTTCTGACACTGCAGCTGCGTTCCCAGCTCTCGCTGTCTCGCTACAGGCAGTGCTGGGACACACAGCTCAGGCACCTGACCCCAACTGACCAAGGGAGTATTTCATCCCATAGTACGTCATGCTCGGAGCAGAGGCGAGGAGGGGGTCTGGGAGCCATTACTCTCTCCCTTAGTCTCTTGCTTGTTTACTCCCGTACACGTGCTAACCCTCTCCCTGACTCCTGCGTTAGCTGCCTTGCTAATTCCTGTGCTGGCCATTGTGGAGGGAGTTGGTGGTTTTGTTTAGTTTTCCCGGTCGTACTATCACTGATAAGGTCCACTCAGAATCTGCTGGGATAGCTCTCAGGCTCTGGCCTTCAGGCTGCAGCTCTCAGGCTCTTTTACTACTCAGCACCTGGTTGTGCACAGGTCAGTGGGTGGGGAGCACCTGTATCATATTGTATCATATGTTTTATTCCTATTATTTTAACTATTTATTATTAGTAGTATTTGTAAATATATTCATTTAGATTCAATTAGTAAATAGTTCAAATCTCAATTTTATGAGCTTCCTTGTCTTTTTTCCCTAATTCTCCCCCTCCACAGGAGCAAGGGAGGGGGAATTTGCAAGAGTGGCTTCATGGGATTTTGCTAGCCACAGTTAAACCAAACCAGCCAAAAAAGTCACTTATAAGACGACACAAAATAGTGACTACATATGGTCGTTTACATAAGCGAGCAACAACCTACATTCTGTGGAGGCTGACAAGCATGCTTTCATTACCCCTAATAAACTTCAAATGACAGAACTAGTTAAGAAAAGTCCCATTTCCCTCTGCTACAACAAAAATCTTCCCTAGGGTAGTGGGTTTTTTTAAATGTATTTCCCAGTCTCAATTTTCACTTAGCTTATTAGTTTTATGGTCAAAGTTACTCTCAATTTCCAAATTTAATTATACAAATGGATAATCCTGCACATAGGTTTCTTACTTTCATCTCTTCCCCCCAAAAAACCCAGGGCAGGCAAAATAAGTTCTTCCTATCACTCCCTTATTGTGCCTGAAAGCAGGCTGAGAGAGGATGGCTTCAACCAAGACTGCAATTAAGTCTCTATGCCCATTCGTTCATTAATCGTTTTGCTGAGACTACCAGGATGCCCAGTGTGAAGGTGATCCTGGGCACCACAGTACCAATAAAGATCACAAATTCATTTCAGTCAGAACACTGAACTGCCAACTAGGGAAAGTCTGCTACGGCCTGTTTTGTTCCTCCCATACAATTTTCTACACGCACACACAATTCTACCTGAAGTACTACATCTTTCTGACCCGTTTCAAACACCATGTGCAAATTAAATATCTTACTGCATTAAACATAACGCTTGCACTGATTTTGTACATAATTTTAACTTTGTTCTGTCCTCATTCTTTGTTTCTAGCCCTTATCCTCCACCATCTAATTCTTCGTTCTTTCTCTGCATTTGTCTGAAAAACATTTTCAAAATTTACTGCCCCATCAGCTGGGATGCTCCTGCTGACTCCATACAGACTCTGGTCTACTGTACTATGAAGTAATGTCTCTTCACTATTTCCTAGTATGTTCAGAACCACTATGCTATAATTTCCTCAACCTAGTTTTATTGCCTCTACTGTCTCCTCTTGCCCAATATAACCCTAAAAAAGAAGTAAGTCTCAGTGGTTGGGAACTACTATATATGGAGTTGTTTGAAAATCTGCAGGTAAATAAGCATGGAGAGGTCCATCCATCCATGTCTCCCCCATTTTAAAAGGGAATGACAGTTCTGCAGAGTGCATCAGCTTGCATATCCACCACCCCCTCTCCTCCCCTTTCTTGTAATTTTAAATAAATCCATTAGAACAAAGGTATCGCAATTTTTTCAGACTGTACCTGGGAAAACAGGGAAAACCAAGAGACATTCTGCTGTGTCAGGCTAGGCCAGAAGGGATCTAATCTGCCAAAAAAGGGTCAAATTCATAGCCAAAACTCAAGTGATATATTGTAGACAGGGCTATGAATGGTGTTAGGGACAAATGCCAGGGATCCCATCCAGATTCATCTTCTCATTTAAGCTACGCTGGGTTAGAAAAGACAGGAAACTACTTCAAATCGAGCGTGCTGTGTTGCTCCCATATCCTCTCTCCCTCCAAGGTCTTAACCGCTTCCCTCTGTCATAACTGCAAGTTACTTCACAGATATGTCCGAAGGGAAACATCTATGGTTTGCTCCTAAAGTCTGTTACTCTCAAAAGGTTGATACTTGCTCTCCTAACGATAACAGAAAACTTCAGCACATCAGTCACGTGGCTTGCAACAGCGTCTTTAAAAAAAACCAAACCTCATCTGTTAATTGGAGCAAAATTATATATATGACAGGAGGAAAGAATCATCTTAATAACTATGACAATCTCAGAAGACCCACCACTGACAAAAACAGCTCTAATAAGCTTTATGTAGGCTTTATCTAGATCTCCTCGTCGTTCTGCATTTTTGAAAATTGATTCAGCGAGTGCTGCAAACTCTTCAAATTCAGCAACAAACGGAAGGATCCCCACTTTACTCTTCTTTGAGATTTTCACTTCGTCCATTTGCTTCATTTGATTACTCTTAAATTTAAAACAAGAACAGATGTTAGCTTCTAATATAGGACTCCAGATCATGTAGCAACTAGTAAAAGAAAAAAGGAGACATACTGAAAAACTGACATTTATTCAAACGCAGAAATTCCATCTTTCAATTAGTGTATCTACTTAGTCTTCCTCCCTTTTGACCCTCAAAAATTTATTAAGAAAAGATAGGCAAGTAAAATTTTCTAGCTTTTTTCCCTCCTTTGTTTACTTACTTAATACTAAGGAAAAAAAAGAAAGCGAAAAGAAAAAAACCCTAACTTATCCACCAGAAGCAATTAACAATTTTCAGTCTATAATCTAACAAGGAACTTCACTTTGCTGATTCAGCCAAGCTAACAATTCCTTTTGCCTCAGGAAGGTTTTTTTTTTTAACCTTTTACTGAAATTTTATAATAATAAAAAAATCAGCTTCAAAATATTTTAAGCATTAAACTGATCAAGAATGGTCAGTTTTATTGTTTGACCTAGAGTCAAATTACATTTATGACAATAAAAAGAAGTTACATTGGTAACTACGTTTTCAATAAACTTGCCATATTTCATTCAATGGTCATATTGTATTAGCAAAACGAAATTTCTGACAGTGGACACTGCCCCTCCTACTGCCCAAAGAGTTGCCATTCTATTCAGACCAAGCGTTTGTTAGATATAAGATAGAAATAAACGAACATATGGGAGGGATGTCAATTTGCCATATTATGCTCAAAGGGGAAAAGCAAAGCCCATGTAAGTCCATGAGGTTTTGATTTGGTAAGTAGCAAAGGCAGAGAGCTATGGTTTACTTCAGTAATCTCAGTAAGAGTACAAGTTTAAACAATCAACTAAAAATGTCAACTAGGTGACAGCAGTGAATGAGAAGTATTTGTTACAAACAGCTAATTATTGCTGAAAACGGGAAGGAAGAGGGAAAAGCAACACAACCACCAATTAGTTTATCTTTCTTGAAGGTCTGGCCAGTAGAAGAGCAATAAAGCTACTCATTTTCACTTCAAATTAAAAGCAAAAAATTTAACCATGGAGAAATGCGAAAACAGAACTGGGTAGGAATGAACTTCCTATATTACAGTCAGCTTAATCAGAATAACCAAAGAACTTACAATGCATTTATCAAAGTTCCTTTTGACAGTCACCAAAACATTTCCAAGCGTTGTGCTGAGAAAAGAAGCTGGGTCCACGTTTTGTGCTGTCCATACATGATGGCTCATCTTAACTAACATATAAAGGGAATTAAAGCTGTCAATCTTGTCCCCCAGCGCTATTAGATTATTCAGCTCAGGTTCAATACAGCGAAATATTTTTGTCATCATTTGTCGGATCATGTCCTTCCTATTAAAAATGCATAAGATGAAAATATTACTCTGACAGTCCTTTGATAACATTTTTATGATAAATATATTGGATGCAGGAATCTCATTTGCATTCAACAAGTCTCATGACTTTCAGAATGCTGCTAAGGTACGAAATGCCGGTGTTACACAGTTAAAAAAAACTAAACTAAACTAAATCAATAGTCATAGGTATGAAATATTCCAAAAAATTAATTCCTGTGTGGAAGCTGCCAGACACTTAAGTTCAGAAATTCACGAAGCATATTTTCCAAAGCATATTTTACATATTCCAATGCCTAGTTTCACTCTGCAAACCATTAGAGAATTAAGCATCTTTTTTATACTACTATAGACAGAAACATCCATCCTCCACACAAGCATGTTTATATTTACTGACAATTTCAGTGTCTGGGTACAAAAACTAGGAGTTTGTTATCCATTTTCACTAAAAGGGAAGAATTTCTGATTATAGAGAAAAGTCTTATATGCCAAATAAATTCACACGTAGGTTTAAGACTCAATAATAAACAACAGCAGCACATACTCAGATGATACTGTTTGTGGAACACCGGAAGCGTATGAACGAGATAAAGTTCCTCCGTCCATTTCCTCCGCTTCATTCTGTAAGAACAATTCTATATTTCAGCAATAAGTAGATCTGACAAAACCAACATAATTATCAGCTTGTGTGTTTATTTTTCAAAGTAGCAAATAGAGTGGTTTGCAAGGTGCTGGTGTTTTTCTGGTCAAGTTCCTCAGAATGTAACACTCTACAACTACTCCCCACTGCCTTCCTACATAGCATGATGGAGCATTTACTGTGATCTCGCAAGGAAACAAAGCCATGGCAAAAGAAACATGTCAGTCCTCCTTTAACAGATGTTGTATTGGTCAGCCAAAAATAAAGATTCTGCCAGCTAATGGATAAAACCAAATTATTGATCACCTGGATCACGTAACTGCCAGATAAATTCAGAAGTTATCTTTTAAACAGGTCTCTTGCGAGGCCTGTTCATTAATTTTTGCTTCAGTGACAGAATGAAGTCATACCGTTGTTCCCGAGATGCTCTGATGTTGCTGTAGCTTGAAAAATTTGCTAATGAAGTCCTGTTCTGCCAGACACAGAGGCTCTAGTTCACTCAACACTTGCTCAAAAATCTAAAGAAAGACAAATATTTTATCCACACTGAATACTACAAGCACTTAGTATTACTAATTTTAATTCTTGATGCATAGGATTTTATACTTTCAGTCTTCAGCTTCAGAAGACTTATTTCTACTTAACAGAAATGGAAACAGCTTGTACTGTATCTTTAAAACTGTCAGCAAGGATTAGAGGTCAGAAGAAAAATACTCATCTCCATCAAGTAATTCAGTAGAGAACAAAATTATTTTTATCTCTCACTCTGATAACTTCTCCTTTTCCCTCCACAGTAGCGAGGAGTTAATTCCACAAGAAGTGAGGAGTACCGATACTTTTAAAGGTTCAGGGGGAAAAAAACCCCACAAACCAACCACAAAACCAACAGATGCTAGGGACAGCAATTTTTTTAAACAGATGCTGAGGACAGTCCAAAAAACCTGAGTGCCACTGGTTAAAGCTGAAAACTGGTAACTTTGATGTGAAACCAATATAAATAAAATCTTAGGACCATGCTTAAGTCCTGTCTAAAAGCAGATGATGCTTTCTTATATTTAACTTTTGCTTACATACTGGCACAATGTGACAGAGCACACAAACATTTCTATTGATGGAGGGGGGAGGGAGGGGAGGGGAACCCAATCAGTTGAAGAATCCACCAGTTCAATTCCTATTTCCTTAAAAATGCGCATTTTGCTTAAATTAATAAACCATTTTTTATGCTGATGTTCTTTACAGATCACACTAAGCACATAAGGGAACTAAATGGATACTTATAATCAGAAATAAAACCCATACACCAATATACTGATCTATGTATTTATTAGAAACTGCCTTTAGTAGACGTGTGGTGCATACGGAATTTGAAATTGGCATGTTTTAAGATTCAAACAGCACAGATTTTTAAACTATACAAGAAGGAAATGAAAGATGCTTCTAATACAAAACTAAAAGAATTCTATGCAACATTTTGGCTTTACCTTATCAAATTTTGTTCTGTCAGCCACATCAAGGTCAGAGGCAGACATGTTTCCCATATCCAGAAGCGAGGATGACTGAGACCTACGGTTTCCTGAGCTCTGAACAGAGAGTTTATTTAGGCTAGAAGTAGACCCAGTCAATTTTCCAGAACTTCCGTGAAGACCTGTGAATTAAAGACACTATGATGGAGGGAAGCAAAGGCAGAATAAAATACTCAGAAGAACAGGCTCATTACAGAATGTGTGGGATCAAGAGTTGCTAGTAGTTCTACATTAAAATCAAACCACTCAATTTTTGTCTAAGCTGTAAATGCTTTTGCTATAAACCCATCCTTTCCTCATTAGAAAGTAACTGAAATACTTCAGCGAGTTCCAAAGTGCAATGTAGCTACATAAACCCTCGTTGTAAAGTATGGAAAAGGGTATAAAAGGAACAAAAGTGACTCGTAGGAACACTGGGATATTCTCCTGGAAAGCCTGGAAGCAAAGCCCAGTTATGATCTTGGTGAATTACTTTGGGCAAAGACTGCTATAAGCAGATGAATTAATCCCCAAGAGGGAAAAATTACAAAGCTTTATATACACACAGGCACTTTTTAATCTTGAACTTGATCTTTCTGCTGCCAACATCCTTTTTTCTAGGTAGCTTGCTCCAGCTGTTTTGCTGGATCTACAATCCCACAGTAACTACTGCGAACGCCCTCCCCTACCCCCTTTGACATTTCTTCCGAATATTATGGGGCCTTCTTCTAGGTGAGGAGTGTAACTGCATTTTTTCCCAAATTTTCAGAAGCGTTGGGATGGGATGGAGAAAGCTAGTAACAAGAAGGACCAAGAAATTGTCAACATTTGACCCCCATGTAAATTTGTCACATCTCAACCACAAAGAAACCTAAATGAGACTTGCAGGATTGCTCTTAACTACTATGTTGGTATCTAGTCTAGGGACACAAGACAAAGGCTATAGATGTAACAAAACTTGTTACCTCAACCTACTGGAAGAGTTGGAAAACTATGACAAGCTCTCAGACACAAACCATATTTTTTATATCAACTATTAGCGTAGGAAAACCAAAAGATGTTGCTTTTACCTTGAAACCTTCTCTACTTCTATATTGGGCTATTTTAGCCGTGCTTCTGCCTTGCAAATAACGACGATTCTGCTAATGCTTATTTTGTTCTGAACGGAATGCTTCAGTGTTAGGTAGATTTTTCCATGATGCAGCACTACATGTTTACATTGACACACATGCATTGACAACACCAACTAATGCAACTAGTTATACTCACTCTCAGTTTCCTGTTTGACAGCACTTTCTTTTCGAGGCAGTGTAGCTGGGATGGATTAGGTTGCAAGCATCAAAGACAAAGACAAGTTAAAATGCAGTTTGCACAAACCATGCACGAGATGCAAGTTAAGCTCTAACTGGAAAGAAACATGCAGAGAACTATAAGCAGCAAGTAACTACATTGCAAACACATTTAGTTGGAGAGGTACTGTTCTAGAAATTCGGTATCTAAGCTACATGGAAAACAGAGTAAGTTTCTAGGTATTAAATTTCACTTATTTTTTTATGCAGCGTGTTTGAAGAACATTTTTGGTAACACGTATTTAAGTTCTCCCAAATTGAGAAGTCCATGAAATTAGGGTTTTATTTGTCAAAGATAATATTGCAAAAGACTCAATTTGCAAGATCAACCATCATGTCAATAAGAGACATGGTGAAATGAAAAGGTATTTATGTAATCTGGTACTCAGTCAGAGATATTGTCAACCTCTTCAATTTAAAAAACACACACCAATACTGTGAAGTCATTCATATTGACAGGAAGACTGGCTGACCTTTTCTGTTGTTCACAAATCAGGATGTTTACACAGAGAATACATCTTTTGTATTCATGCTGCACCAAAAATTGAGGAGTGCGAATTCAAAGAGGATGAAAACAACAAATACATAGTCAAAAAAATTTAAGGTGCTTTTTTATTTTTCCTGGGTTTTGCAGATTTACACAGTTTCCTCAAGTGGACTTCAGTATGAAATTTAGAGTAAACAGGCATTTGTGGTAAACAGAGAATCCCTAACCAGTAAAAGGCATTTGCATACATACACTAAAAGCAGTATGTGGTATTAAGAAGATCTTGATGAGGATGGATGCTATAAGCCCCCCAAAATGGAGCAGGCAAGCAGAACCTACTGTAATAGAATGAGTAAATACTTCTAAATGCCACAAACATGTCTTAAATACCAGATGTCTTCAAGTAGGCAACACTACTGACAATTGTAACGTCAAACACAAATTTAATTCCAGACTGATTTTGTTTTTAGATCTTGGGGGTTTTGGCAGGTTTTGAATAAAAATGTTAAGACCTGATGTATTTGGCATATGCATCTGTCATGCATTCATCCCACTTCTTCATCGTCCTCAATTTCCAAACACACAGGACTGTATTACAGAACGTGAAGAACTACAGGCAAAGATCAAGCCCTGGAGAATCAGGGGAGCCATAGCGGCCTTTGAGAAGCCACATCATACAAACATGTGACAGTAGTAGCAGACTTTCCCACATTGATTTGATGGTATTTAAGTATCAAAGTCTTGGCTTCATCATCAGAAAAAAAAAAAAGACCACTTAAGACAAGTGTGAATGCTCACGACCTAGATTTTTTAATGCCATAAAAATGCAGACAAAGAACCTTGCACTAGCACAGAATGCCAGAAAACTCCCAGCATCCCCCTCTGCGTTTGAGGCATTCAAATAGCAGTGCTATTCCCAAAGCACAGAAAAAAAGGCAAGAACACACACCAACACAGCTTGGAAACAGGTCATCTTTAGTGTCCGAGAACAACCGGAGCATTATGCACCTACACTATTCCTCATCAAGTTTACTATTAAGAAGTGATGTATTTTGAATTAGTGTGCAACTTGCAATTGTACACCCATTACCCTCAACATAGAAGCCTTTGAAATTACACAATGTTATAAGCTGTTGCAAAATAAATCCATAACTTTGTATTTAAACGGTGAAATGAAATTGGTTTTATATAAGGACCAGCTTTTTAAACATACATAATTTGTTTTCCTTCTTTATGGTATCAGCACTGAGGACTGAAGTATTTTTGATCTAATTCATTCTCAGATTCACTTGTGGCCTCAAATATGCGGCCACTGATTACTTAATGGCCTAACTACCATTCTTAACAATAATTCTAGGGAAGTCCCCACTGGATAAAGCTTCCAGTTTTGGCTTTGTGACTGGTTCCTACCATTTTTCAGAGGACTGGGCACTTGAGTTCAAGTTTTACATGTCAGTCAGTCACCAGCAAGCCTCAAACATTAACATACCCTCTTGTATGACTGTGAAAATGTAATATTACAGAAGAAATCAAACCAAGAGAACTGGTTTAGAAAAAAAACCCACAACTCGCAACCCTTTGCTACTCTCTTCTTTGACTATTCTGTGCAAAGCTCAGTCATGCTTGACGTTTGCACAGATACACGACTGAAGCCTTCTCAAGGTGCTGCTGGTGCTGGTGAACTGAAGGACCTCTTCCTCCAAAATGCCTGATTCCTCCGTAACATTTACAGAAGTTAGGCAACTGCTACAAAAACAGACTCCTCACAGATGCAAATCACAAAAGAAATGCCAGGGTTAAGTATTTCGAACGTTTCAAAAATCAATTTATATTGAAGTGTTTTGGTTTTGCAATAAAATAGCTTTTCAAGATTAATGTATTTAACTGTTCTGTCATCAACACTTTATGGCACCACTTGATCTCTGCTTCCAACAGCTTGTCACGACTCATCATTCCAGCTTCCTCCTCCCCTCGGTCAAGCCTCAACACTCTCCTACTTTCTTCTGTTCATGACTTTTTTCTGTTCTCTACCATCAAACTTCAAAGCATAAGTTCAGGACCCAAAAGAGGTTTGACAGAACTTACTAGTTAAAAGCTGCACATCATTTCTGAATTTGGAATTTGGAAACTGGTTTAAAATATTTATATTTGCCACAGTTCACAAGTTTTGAAACAGTGCGCTTCAAAATATAGACTAGCCAACATATAAATACACCTCTATCACTGCTGCTTTGTAAGTGTTCTGGTTGTTATTTTAAAAAAGCTTCACTTCCATATTCAAACAAGACTATTTAATCCTGGCAGGAATACATACTCATAGAATCATAGAATGGTTTGGGTTGGAAGGGACCTTAAAGACCATCTAGTTCCAACCCCCCTGCCATGGGCAGGGACACCTTCCACTAGACCAGGTTG